TAATTTTTGTGGTTCAATGGTTTTTAGCATTTCATGAGTTCTCAAGAAGTCATTTATATTTTGCGTTGGTGTGTTTGCCTCCATTTTGAGATTACTTTTGTACTTGAGGGGACTTGATCATTGATGACAAAATGTATAAATGGAACTTATTTTGTTCGTGATGATGGACTTATTTTGTGAAATTAGCTTCCCTTTACTTTGGATACTAATTCATATACTAGATTCACAAAGATTAGCTCATTTCATGTTTTTATCCCCTGAACATTGTATGGTTTTACATGCTTGATCACTTTCTCCTTTTCCCTTGATTTGCATGCTTACTTCTTGATCGTTGCAAGTTTTTAATCAGTTGTTTTATTTGATTTTGCCATTTGAAGTGGTGTATTAATTGAATTCTCCTTTCTTTGCAAATAAGGTAGGAAATTAATTGCTTGGCTATGGATTTGGATAGCACAAGTTCAATAGGGGAGTACAACTTTCTCTTACTTTCGTTATTTTTCTTTCTCACATTAAGGACAATGTGAAATTTAAGTATGGAGGAGGGGAATAATTGTCTTGCTATTTTATGCCATGCAATGATATTTTGTGGATTTGACTGCATTAGAAATGTTGGAAATGTGATTGAAAATATTGCCATGTTGAACTTGAAAAATTGGTTTGTTGGTAGTGAGTTTCATCCAGTTATAAGGGAAAACTTTGTCAAAATTTTTCTAAAATCTTTTCCAATATTTCACTATGACCCAAAACTTTTTGCAATTTTTGTCTTTATTTTAAAAAATGGCCAATTTGTTCCAACCTTGAGCATTGTGGTTCTTCTACTTGTTGAAACTTTATATGTATTTTGGAAGATTTAGTCCTCATTTGACTTGGAAATGGTTATTATGCAATTGAAATTTTTGCATTTTAAGAAGTATATCCTGTAAAGTAGGGAGAGTTATACCTATAATTTTGCATGGTTGATGAGATTTCTCCTCTTTATTTAATTTTACAAGTAAGTGATTGATATTGTCAACAAAAGTTATAATTTTCCTTTGGTTATTCTTGTGTATTTACTAAGAGGGAATGTCTATTTATTGTCTTTTATTTTAAAAAAAAAAGAAGATAAGAGTTTTTGTTCTATTCCAATGATTCTTCTGCCAAGTAACCGGGGGTTGGTATCTACAAATGTCGACACTCGCCTAAAAAGGTACTTGAATTAAGAGTATGCATAGCAATCTGAAAAAGTGAAATGTTGAGTAACCGGGAATCTTCACTGAGAAGTGTTGATCTTCGCGTCAAAAGACATTTTCACTATTTGAGTAAAAATTAGTATGAATAAATCCCTCTTAGTTGTAAAATTTGTGAAAAAGATGATCTTGGGAGGAAGATAGCTATAAATTGATTATGTGATTTTCTTATCTGTGAAATTAGGTTAAGGTGAGAGATTAAGTTTAACTTGTCAAAATTAGGCTATAATTATCTTTCATTTACTTGATATTATGAGTATTTAGTGTAAATTAAACAATTGCATAATGATTGTTTGCCAAGTTATAAGGGATTGAATTAGAAAAAAGTGCATATAGTGTTTCACCTTTTGAATCATTGTTGTTGATTATGTGTTAATTGCTTGAGGACAAGCAATTGTTCAAGTGTGGGGGCGTTTGATAAGTGCATAGTTTGCATGTTTTCAGTATATTTTGTTAGTTAGTTTTGGTGTGTTTTATTTAGTTTTATAACTAAATAGTTAGGATTCTAGTGAAAATATGCATTTTGTGATTTAAGTGGTAAAAATTGCATTTCTATGGATTTTTATGGTGAAAACATCATGTTTTTATAGGTTTAAGGATTCAATCATCAATTGGAGTGATTTGAGAAGATAATTAGATAATTGATGATGGTTTAAAGTGATAAAAGAGAGAATCTGAAGTGCAAAAGTGGAAATGCAATCAAGAATAAAAAGAATCAAGTTTCACAGCTTTGACATCTTGTGGCATTTCGGCTATATCTTGAACTACAAGCACTGGATTAAGATGATTCTTGAACCATTTTGAAGTTAAGAGACAGATCTATATTTGGTATGACATTAAAGTCCAGTTCAGTCATTTTCATTGTCAAAATGTCGAAATATAGAAGTGCATTTTCATTGTCAAAAGCTAAAACAGAGCCCTGACCAGTCAATGGTATTTTGGTAATTTCTTGGTCCACAGAGGTCCAAATTGAATGATTCTTGATGCATTGGAAATCTAACTCAAAGAGCTACAATTTTCATGTTTTCATAAGAGTTAGTTCAGCCTCTATCATCAAGAAAATATCAGTTAAAGTTGGACAAAAAATAAAGCAAGTAAATTTAAGTTCGGATCTGTACTAAACCTGACCTCGGATAAATTTCTGTAATGAGAGGTTACATCCGAGAGGAGGGTCCGAGCTCCGATCCCCATGTTACAGGCCTCATATCCTAATGTGCAGTAAAGATAAAAATGAAGAAAAATGAGATCCGAGAGGTATTTTGAGCGATCCGAGCTCAGATCTTGCCACAGATCCCCAATTGCGGCTCTGCAACTTGTGCTCTGTTCACACAAGCTTTTTGACCAATTTATCTGCAAGAAATCTGGCTGGAACTGAGCAAGCAAGTATAGAGAATTCAAGAAACATCTTTTGGTGATTCCAAGGAGCAATTTACATCAACTTTAAAGAGCAACCTTGGAGGACATTTTCACAACTTTTGGAAGATTAGAGAAACTCACAAAAAATGTAGTCTTCTCTAGTTTTTCTTAGTTCATTAGTTAGAGTAGATTAGTATAGTTAGTGTAGTTTATACTTCTTGTATTTGTAGCTAGATTTGGATGAAGATTGAGGAGCAAAGATGACAAGGTTGATCTCATGTGACAAGGGTGATATCTCTTCTACTACTTTCTCTCTTGTATTGGATTTCATATTTAGTTATAATACAAGTTTGGTTTTGTGTTTCTATTATGTTTACTAATTATAATTGTTGTAACTATCTTAAGTAAAATGGTAAGTTTGAACAATTCACTTATTTACCATTTTATTTGTAAAAGTTATCATTTTTCAATAAAAACTTACCATTATTTGAGTTAAACTTACTAATTATAAAGTAGTAAGTTTCGTTGGAGAAGTAGTAACGTTTAGTATTTAAAGAGTATATCTTATATCACACTTATAACTTACCAATTTTATTACCAAAGTTACCATATTACCACATGATGTTACTTTAAATAATGGAAACATGAATCATTAGTAGTGCAATTGTCGGTAAATATACCAATCTTGGATGTGGGGACCACTATTAACCGGTTGTACTAGTATTTTAATTTAAAATATTCACAAGTTATGATAGCGATCGGCACTATAGCATTATCCTGAAATAATACTGTGTCCAGGGTGCTGATTTGCCCCCATGCTGGTCAGGAAGAGGGGCGCTGTGGAGGAAGGGTTAAAAAAATAAAAAAAAATATAACCATACAAATGACTTTTATCTTTTTACAATTACTAAATAATCATAGATCCATTGCAGTTGAAAAACTTGGTAAGGCTCACACAGTGGGATATAATTAAGAAAAGCACCAAGGTTCCTTGCAGTCTTACGAAGTGGATAAACATCCAAGTCTAAGTGTTTTAATCCCCAAAACTGATTACACACATGGAAGTGATACGTTAGAATACTTTTTAATAGCTCACACACTGAGATGGATACATTCAAATACTTTTTAGTAGTTAAAACATTCAATATAAAACTGAAAATTTCAAACATATTTATACTTTGAGTGCACCAGAAGATGAATTCCAATTAACTAAATTCTGTTGTATGTGTGTTTTGAATTAGTGCACATGTATTAAAGAATTTAATTCTGATATTTTTGAATGTTGCATCAATACTCACCCTTTCCTGTACTTTTCAAACAACAATCAACGAATTCTTTCCACTTTGTGCGCTAAGGTATCCGCACAGATTGGAATATGTTCTCACTTAATGGTCCAAATTCCAAGTGAAATTATGAAGGATAGAATACTTGCATAGATGAACGAGTTGTTTCGGATTAAAGAGCGTGAAGTTCAAGTAAGTTAAAGATTTTGACTTTTATAGTCACTGCAGGTAGCCTGCATCGGTTCTCTATCTGATTTGATGTTAGAATTGATTGTATCATTAGTCATCGTATTAAATTTTTGTAAATTATTTAACTTGTCATTGAGTTCTTGCATGAACTCTAATGAACTCTATATGGTATTAAAATTGGTTTTAATATTTGATGAAAACCCTTAATTTTATGAATAAATCTTATATACACTGACAGTGTATATACTATCATCATTTGATCCATGACATGTGTACAAAAATTAAATTTCAAATTCAAAGTTTGTACAGTTATCATTCATCAAACGCTGATAATGTATACACTGTTAGTGTAAGAAAGATTAATCCTAATTTTATTTGTTTTTCTTATGGATATGTCACCATGGTCACATCAAATAAAATTCATCCAAAATGTGAGGTCATCATGCACCTATCCAAAGGGCAATTATTCTCGTTCTGCGTTTGTTCAAATACAGTAATTATAGAAGAAAACTTTTTATTCTTGGCGCTGACGCACTACAACAAAAATGGCCTTTAACGGCATTTAAAAGTGTTAGTATAGATAATTTAACCTGATACTTTATCTATCCTCACACCTAGGACGAGTGTTGTCCCTTCCAATGTGGGGATAGACTCATACTGTTCAACATGTTAGGAAAACTATGCTATTATAACATCCCATCTGCCAACAAAAATCCCTTTTCTTGATAATTGAAAGTGTCAGGATAGGTATAGTACAACATTAGAATATCGAATTCTATGCTGACACTTTTAATTGTCAGGAGTTTTTTTTTTTTTTTTTGAGATAGAAGCAACCTGCAAGTAATGCTCCCTGCTATACATTCCGTCAATCAGAAACCCAAAGGACTTTTAAAATTATCCCAAAGAACAGAATGCATATAAGATAATATGCTATGATGCAAAAATCTAGAAACATCAAACTTGAGCAGTACTGTGATTATGAGAACTGAAAATGCCAACTCCCATAAGCAAGAGGAGATTTGTCATCATGTTTCATACATCAAAAGCAGAATGCAAATGAGACTAAATGATATACAAGCCAACACACAGTGGAAAATCTCAGAATAAATGCAAGCGCACTTTGTTTATAGCAATAACAATTCGCACTCCAACTGCTTTGGCATGAGCAATAGCCTCTTTTGTTTGAGGTCGAATTCCATCATCAGTAGCAACTACAATAACAGCAATGTCTATTACTCTGGCTCCACGAGCTCTCATTGCTCGAAATGCCTATCCAACCATTTTTACAGTTATGTTAGATAATTCATCTTGACAAGGGCCTTTTAAGATATGTCTGCAAAATCTCCAAGAAGAGCATTTGACATAAAAATTTTAAAAAAAGAAAAAAAAAACTTGCATGAATAAGCAGTTAAATGTTAGAACCAGTGCTACATCATTAATTACCTCATGTCCAGGGGTGTCAAGGAAAACACAAGTCTGTGGCTTGCCATCAAAAGGTACTTGTACCTTGTATGCCCCCATGCCTTGAGTAATTCCACCTGCTTCAGATGCTGCCACCTACAGTAGGTTGTCTAAGATTTAGTTCTCAGCTATTCAAGTATCATAACATAAGACAGAATAAGGTACTTCTTCTAAAGTCATCAAATCATAATGGCATTACAAATAATGTACCTCAATGTGAACATCAATAAAAATAATCGATTCATACCTTGCTTTTCCTGATGTAATCCAAAAGTGTGGTCTGCCAACCCAAAAGAAAACCAGTAATATATTAGCTAAAGATTGTTATGGGACAATAAATCTAGAATGACTCTCCTAAAGATCAATTAACTGGAAGCACACAAAATGTTCATAGGCAACAATCAAATAACAAAGAAAGGTAAAATTATTTCATGGGATGAGATCATAATGACTTCAAAAAAGATCCATTTGCTATGGAAGACTAATCCAGCTGTAAGAAAAATAAGCGCATGCATCAAGGAGTACAACATTAATATTGATGATAATGTATCATTTATAAGCAAAATACTGAAAATGAAACTTGGAATGACTATATCTAGACATCGCTAGACAAATCCCAATTCTCTTGATAAGGGAAGACAAGCTAATAATGTACAGCTAGATTAGTAATAATTTAATAGAGAGCCAAAACTTAAGATGGGCACCCGAACTATGTCGTAGATTGGCGTGATGCCAGTCTAAAACTGAGTTGATCTCAGCTCTTTCGAACAGGTTTGTTGGGTACCTTTTTGGTATGAAAAAGCACAAGTGATCAAAAGAGGTACGATCGAGTATCAGTTGTTGGTTTGATACCTTAGAAGCCAATAGGCATCATAGTAAGACTTACATTTAGCAAGTGGCTATGTAACCATTTTCTGGTCCTCATGTGTTGCAGCCTGATGATGGTACCACCTTGTTGGGCGTTGGTATCTGGTACGGGTCTAACAATCTGCAAGCCAAGTTTAATCATACCTAAACTTAGACAATTATAATGATCTAGAAAAAATAGATACTAGAAAAAGAAACATACCCAATAGCTGTTTGAGTCATCAACGTTGGGAAAACCAGTGACGGATTGCTGCCCACTACCAGAGCCATATGGTACATCATGCGAATGCAGCCTAAACTTTGTTCTCTCATGCATCAACTTGATCACTGGCCCATAAGTAATCTACTAAAATCACAAATGCCGAACAAAATAAGAATGACTTAGCACAAAGCCCCATTATACAACTATTAGAACTCAAAGCATCATACACCATTTTTTATTTTCGCCACACAACAGAAACCTCAAACTATAAAACAGGAAAAAAAATCAAATTTAATTCATAAATCAGCTCTTTAAAAAATCCAAATAGCAATTTTTAACTGACACCCAGCTAGATTTTCAACAAAGATTATCGAGGCATTTCATCAAACATGTCGAAGGCTATTACTAATTCAATACAAACAACTCCATTTCCTCTTTCCCTGTCCTCTTTTAGCTTATAAACCTCTGAAGCGCTATAATTTATAACCATCACATGCCTATAATAGCACAAACTTGGTCAAAATTTTGAACCAAAAATAACTATAAAACAACTTTCCGCGTACAATTTCAACAAATAGGGGGAAAAACACACACACACACAAAGATGCACCGCATATCTGTGCAACTACAGGAACACAAAAACCATGAATTTGAAGTAGTAAGTGGGCTTTTGGCTTACCTGGACGCCTTCGGAAGCGGTAGAGATGGGGGAAGAGGTGAAATCAGAGTCAAGGGTAAAAAAAAGGAAATGGCGAGACCGAAAAACGAGATTGCCATTAGTAAAAGTAAGCCAATGAACCAGGTAGTTTGCCAAAAGGGCAAATTGAGATTGGACTTGGAAGACAATTCTCGATAAACTATTCGAGTCAGGGGAGAAATTTGTTGAGCCGAATTCGAAGAAGATGATGATGATGACCCGGAAGTGGGTTTCCTTCGAGAGAGATTTTGTTGCTGATGCTGCTGTTAACTGCCTGAAGGAGCCACGGTTGAAGCTTCATGGAAACTGCTGCTTGGCTGCTACCCATTTTTCCCACCAACTACATCAGAATCTGACAACAGAGAGATAGAGAGACAGAGAGAGGGTGGTTGGAAATGGTGGAGCTGGAAAATGAAAATTTTGAGTAATTGTTTTGAGTAAGTGTTTTGGCCGGCAGAATGAAAATTTTGAGTCTTTTAGGGCGAATGAATCTTCCGCCAAAATCAAACGATGCCGTTTAGTGTCTTTCTTTTTTTTGGTGTATCTCATATTTTCTCAAGTGTCATGTTAGATAGTCTAAAGGCACGTTATTATTTTTATATCTAATAAAATAAAAAAATTAGAGTATATATTATTGAATTGCTAATAAGTGTCATGATAGGAGTGCTATAATGGCACAAACCAACAAGTGTCCTTACAGATATGTCAGGAAAGACCATTTTTGTTGTAGTGACGTATGACGGGCGTTCATCGATCTAAAGACTTCTCCAAAACATCCAAGACTTTGACATGTATTTTCTTTGCTCTAGGATGAGATTGTTAAGCAACAACTAGAAAGCATAAGCTTGCTTAGTGGATTGCTTTGGACATCTTGGTTGCCATAGGTCACTGCCACCATGGAGAATATGCTTCTATTGCATTTTCATTGCACAATAATTATTAGGCCAGACAATAGAAATCTTCTCATTTGCACTGTCATGAGCTAGAAAGAATGAGCTTGTTTTTCTCCAGGATAAAATGAAAAGAATTTGAAGTGTATGCTCATTGCTTAGTCTCTGATGTGCTAAGATTTGTCCCATAGGAAAGAAAAACTTCAGTTAGGTCTATTCTTGTAGTATATCCTTTGACGTGCTGTTGACTTCTTAGATGCCCATAACAAACATGATCGGTGGAGTTCCTGCTACATTATCTCACAGCCTTAATATTGGTGGTCCCTGACCCCTCTAGGTATATATGGTCCTTTAGTTTTTGATGGAAGAAGGCTCCTTAAAACTGCCCTTCATGGATGACAGTCTTTGCACCAGAAGAAGCGCGTCTGATCCTCAGCCCCTTTAAGGAGCTCCTTACCGGGCCTCACCCTAAAAATTTGATATCTGCAAACAAATTTTTTTTTTTTCATTATAGGAGTAGTGATTTTTTAAGAATTCCAAGTCAAATAAATCACAATTATTTGAGAGTGAATTTTATGGAATTCCAAGTCAATCACAGATATTCAAATATAAAACAAAAGGTGTAAAGAGTAATGGAAAACATCAGATTTTGAGAGAGTTGAGTATAATTCTAATTATGGATTTATGGTTTATGGATTTTTGTTTGATGTGATTTCTCGTTGGTTGGATCATTGATACATTGACTGGGTTTCATAATATTCAAGAGAAGGGAATGGCCAAATAGGTTTCGGGATAGGATTGAGTTAATAAAATCACATGAGTTGTTATATGTGTCAAATTTTTAGGTTGAGATCCAGTAAGAAGACTCCTTAAGGGGGTTGAGGATCAGATGCGCAGAAGAAGTTTTAAGATAGAAGATTGAGGAGAACTTTAGCGGCACCTAGGGATAGGATTGCACATCTACGTTTAAGTTCTTTTTTTTTTTTTTTGGGTTTAGGGGGTGGTGGAATATATAAGGAACAGAGAAGTTTCAAAGATCAAAATAAAAGAAAGGATTAATATCATGATTAAATACTATACTCTGTCCCATAATTAGATAAATTAAAATTTCTTTTAATTCATTATTGATTCCAAACAATCAGCTCATACTTAAAGATTAAGATTAGCATCTAACAATGCATCATGTCTACCCAAGTAATGAGAAAAGTTAAGTGGATGACTTTACCTTTTAGTGAACAATTACCATGTAATTAATATCCTTTTACTACACTTATTTCACATTAATCTTGGAATAAGTTATGCCCATTCCATTAATCAATCAACTCATACTTATAGATCAAGATTGGCATCTAACAATGTATCATGGCCACCCAAGTAATGAGAAAAGTCAAGTGGACTTCACCTTTCAGTAAACATTTACTGTATAATTAATATCTTTTTACCACATTTATTTCACATTAATCTTGAATAATTTATGCTCATTCCCTAATGTGATTAATGCTTATTGCTTGTACCAAATTATAACTCCAATGAAGAAGTACTTAGAAACACACTCTAAGAATCTTCCACTTAATGCTAAGAATTCCGAGTTATACTTTACAAGCGGTCAGACATGAGATACCTTCTCTTTTTATAAGAAATGGTAAATCTATATAGGTTATTCACTACCTTTTCATACTTCAAGTACATACCCATTTGTTAATGATATGAGCATCATATAACAAACAAAGTGTATCTGTCCATGCTCAAAATACCATGATAACCTTAAGTCTAAGGATCACTTACACAAACATTACTTAAAAATTAATCCTTTGCCACTTAAAGAATATCTCTATACGGACCAATTTAGTAAAATTAATCATTGTATCAAGCATCCATATACTAGTTTAGGTGTCTCGCACACCATAGTAGATGAGGTATACTATTTTTCATATTGAAGTGGTATAGTGTATGTTAGTCTAATTGTATTAACAATACCCTTTCTTGGTAATACTTTAACTAGAAATATTTAAAAATAAACTTTATTTATAATCGAATTAATCTCACCATCAAAAATTTTATGATTTCATCGATAGGTTTATTTTAAGAGGTTTATCATGCAAATGAGATAGAGAGACAGAGAGAGGGTGGCTGGAAATGGTGGAGCTGGAAAATGAAAATTTTGAGCAATTGTTTTGAGTAAGTGTTTTGGCCGGCAGAATGAAAATTTTGAGTGTTTTATGGCGAATGAATCTTCCGCCAAAATCAAACGATGCCGTTTAGTGTCTTTCTTTTTTTTGGTGTATCTCATATTTTCTCAAGTGTCATGTTAGATAGTCTAAAGGCACATTGTTATTTTTATATCTAATAAAATTTAAAAAAATTAGAGTATATATTATTGAATTGCTAATAAGTGTCATGATAGGAGTGCTATAATGATACAAACCAACAAGTGTCCTTACAGATATGTCAGGAAAGGCCATTTTTGTTGTAGTGACGTATGACGGGCGTCATCGATCTAAAGACTTCTCCAAAACATCCAAGACTTTGACATGTATTTTCTTTGCTCTAGGATGAGATTGTTAAGCAACAACTAGAAAGCATAAGCTTGCTTAGTGGATTGCTTTGGACATCTTGGTTGCCATAGGTCACTGCCACCATGGAGAATATGCTTCTATTGCATTTTCATTGCACAATAATTATTAGGCCAGACAATAGAAATCTCATTTGCACTGTCATGAGCTAGAAAGAATGAGCTTGTTTTTCTCCAGGATAAAATGAAAAGAATTTGAAGTGTATGCTCATTGCTTAGTC